AACACATATGCATTCCACAATATCATGCCAACGGCCACAAACCGCATCATAAATCATCATGCATTCCTATTCAATTTAAACAATGCATTATATATATATATATATATATATATATATATATATATATATATATATATATATATATATATATATATATATATATATATATATATATATCAAAAGCTACATTCAGGATTGATTTCACAATCTAGGATTCACGCCATAAGGCTACCCACAGCATAACATACCACAACGGTATACAAACTATTCATTTCAATAAAATTAAACATAATTGAACTAAAGGAATCATCATGGAATGGAAAACACATAAATGAAAAGTTGTTGTCACATTTGTTGACCTTCACCTGACGAAGCATCTAGCGAATGCTCACTACCTCGTTCGCCTAGCGAACTCGTTGGCGAAGCAAGTCAGTAGCTACTGGAAGTGTTCGCTATCGTTTGCTAATTCCCTTGCCTGACAAACCTTCGCCACCCTTCTTCGCTTGGCGAACATGCCAGCGAAGACTAACTTTTGCTTCTGTTTTGGTTCGCTACCCACTCGCTGGGCTTCGCCTGGTGAAGCTTCGCTACCGCTCGCCTGGCGAACATGCGAACTCAGAAATCCCTAATTGTCCAAAATCGTCCAATCTCTCCAAAATCAAACGATTCTCACCAAACCAACTCCAGTAGTCTTAGCCCAATATCACCGGACTAAACTACACCATTAATTTCAGATTCCAACCGTTTAAACTCGATTTCTACCGATTAAACTCATTTCTGCACTAAATGGAAAATGAGTAGAAACTCTCCAAAACCCAAACCAATCATACAAACTCATACATAATCATAAACATTGATAGAATAATGATACTTCCCACCCTTACCATGATTAAATCGGAGCTTGAGAGTTGTTCTTGAGCTTCCAAGCTTTTTCCTCTTCTTCTTCTCTTTCTCCTTCTTTCTCTATTCTTTCTCTTATGTTTCTATCTTTTCCTTTTCTTTCCACTTTTCCCTTATAAGTCTTTCTCTTCTAATTCTCTCCATCATCTATCAATTTATTTAATTAATCACCCACTAATTAAATAATCCTCATAAACTATTTAATTAATATAAATAATTAATTAATGAAAATTGGGCTGTTACATGTCGGGAAAAAGACAAAGATGTGAGTAGGGGAAAAGAAGGGCACAAGAGGGAATGTCAATACATCTCTTCCATCCCAATATGCACCCCGAGGGCAAGCAACACGTTCAAGAGTACTGCGAAGGGGGAGATCGGCGAGTTGATGACTATCAGCAAAAAGGAAGAAACTAATTTGACTAAGTTCCCAAAAAGAAAACTCCTCAGATTTCAAGATAACAAGAATATGATAGGGATCCTAACCGGGATCTTTTATTTGGTCATAACAGCCACAATCGCCAACTTCAACGTCTCTAGAGTACTTATTGGTGGTGGCATTTATATCTTTGAGAATATGGGGTAAAATAAGGATAGGTTGTCTCCCTATGAAAGATATGGCCTACAAGTCTTTGACAACACTTTAACACGTCCTTGAGGATGTATCAAGTTGATGGTCACCTTAGGATGAGGAAGGGATACCAGAATTATTGATTCCCAGTTATTGGAAGTCCCTTGCAGGACTGTCTGCAATTTCATCCTATGTCCCCGGTCCAACTCAAGTTGAAGTACCACAACGTCCATGACGATAAACACATACGGTTCTGGAGCAAAAAGGATCTACAAAGCTTTGCACTAAGACTAGAAAGAAGGTGAGGGCAAAGCCATTGAGATCAATCTGTCCTCTACAGGTAAGGCAGGTCGTCCCGACCAAATAAGTAGAGGTGGCTGATCCAGACAGCCCACAAGGCCCAAAGAAGCTAAGGCTCAATAATGACACAACGAAGCATTTGGCGCATAACAAACAGACTTTTTTCTCCCACGTATATGTAATCCCTCATGTGAGTGTTCTGCCAATCGTTTAGATCAATCTGGCGGTTGACCACGTCTCATGTCATTCCACACGCATGCAATTGTGAATCCTTTCTCATATTTAAAAAGAAAAGTGTATCACTTTACAGGTATTTAAACTCTCTCTCATTCAAACACCATTTTTCACTCTTATACTGACTTTAGCGTTGAATTATTAACCTTGATAATCAGTTCACTCCCCACTGTATCCGAAACTCAGAATCACCTAACAAACTCTAAATCCACACTTTCTAATCAATTCTAACTCCACTCGAGAACATGTTTTAACTTTTCTTGTTCTTTAGCTAAATAGTTTCTTTGTGCTTTACTACAAGTTTTAGAGCATGGTCCCCATATATAATGAGAATTGTTAAAACAAGATATATTACTATGTCATGGCACACTCATTATCTTCTTCTCTTGTCTCCCTTGAAGTACTTAAGTTATAATCAACTACTATTATTATTGTATATGCAGAAATCCGAGACCAAATAATATGTTTCCATATTTAAATAATTCACAGTGTTCACAATGCACGCGTACACTTAATTCTATCGATAAAATTGAATGAAATCATAAAACACTTTCACACTTTCACGGTTAAAACATAAAAGTAATTAAGTTAATCTTCAAAGTACAATTCTGGGTTTAATTATTATTTGATCATCACCATGCGTAGATGTGTGAACAAATGAAAGCAATATTGTGCAATGTTTAATAAGATAATTTGATGTGATTATGGAATGGCCAGGGGTTAAATGAGAACAGTGATGGTAGCTTATGCATTCAATCTAGGAGACACTTTGTTAATGTGTATGAATACAAAATCATTAGGTAAAACTAAACTACATGTAATTCAAGTGGGGTCCATTTGATACTCACCATGTTGTTGCTTTGCAAAAGATAAAATTCTAGAAAGATGTTTCATGAATGCACCCAAAGGAAGGGAACATTGCATTTGGATCTGAACAATGTTGAAAATGTGGCATCTTTTTCACTTTTGACTTCACTTCCTCGTTTCTAGTAAAATATAACCTCGAAGACATGTGGAATAAAATGCCATCATTAAGCCTCTTATACCAAATCTTTTTCGTTTTCTTTTTAGTCATATTTGGGATCTGAATACCGATGAAATGTTTGAAGGAAGTGTTTGCTCTTTAAATTTAAATTAATATAAGTTATAAATGTATTATTTTGAGGTTTAGAACAGCATAGCGTGTGTCTAAGATTGAATAATTAGTTATAATATTTTTTTTAAATAAGAGTTTAGCATTTAGAAAAATGCTAGAATTTTTTTTAAAAAAGTTATCATTAAGGACATGTGTCAAAAAATCATGTAAATTCTTTTATCTTTTGTAAGTGTGAGATTTTAGGGTTTATAATAGTAATTTAGTCAAACTTGAAGATCTGAACACAGATGAAATGTTGGATGGAGGTGTTTAGTATTTAAATCTAAAAGTAAAGATATATTAACAAACACTTAAACGATTAAATTAATATAAATCATAAATGTATGATTTTGAGATTTAGAATAGCGTATCTAAGATTGAATAATTAGTTATAGTACTTTTTTAAAATAAGAGTTTAGTGTTTAGAAATGCTAGAACTTTTTCTTGAAAGAGTTATTTTTAAGGACATGTGTCAGAAAATCACGTAAATTCTTTTATCTTTTGTAAGTGTGGGATTTTAGGGTTTATGATAGTGATCTAGTCAAAACTGAAGATTTAAACACCGATAAAATGTTTGATGGAGGTGTTTGGTATTCAAATCTAAAAATAAAGATATATTAACAAACACTTGGACAATCAAATTAATATGAATTATAAACGTATGATTTTGAGATTTAAAATAACGTATCTAAAATTGAATAATTAGTTATAGTACTTTTTAAGTAAGAGTTTAGCATTTAGAAATGCTAGAACTTTTTTCTAAATAGATGTCTTTAGAGATATGTATTAGAAAATCATATAAATTTTTCTATTTTTTTTTTGTAAGTATGAGATTTTAGGGTTTATAATAGTAATTTAGTCAAATTTAAAGATGGAAACACCAATGAAATGTTTGATGGAGATGAGTGATCTTCAATTCTAAAAGTAAAGATATATTTACAAACATCTGTACAATCAATTAATAGAGATCTTAAGTGTATGATTTTAGGATTTAAAAAATATATATATATATGTGTTTGAGAATATATTGTTAGACTTTGTTGTGAGAATTTAAGCGTGTGGCTTTGTTAGAAAAAAGAATCAAAAGATATCCAATTGAGAAGTGAGAAGATGAAGGACAAGTAATAATTCAAACAAAGGTACACATCATCATCATTATTGAAGTTTGACAGGTAAAAATATGCTTAATAATTCATGGCAACCCCTATTTTTATAGGCCTCACTTTATGCCATTTTGGTTTCAATAGCTCCTATGTTATATCATTTGTCAGATTTTAAAAACCACATTACTTTCTACATTGGATGTTAACCACATCTATTACTAACTTAGTCTAAAATGAGTACTGCAAAAATATTTCATTTCTTTTGGACTAAATCCACAAACAGAATACCCTAATGCTTAGTTTAACTAGACTCATCAAACTTAGGATTTTAGATTGTACAATTTACATTCCAATGTAAGATTTAACTTTTCACGCAATCACAAAGACGACGCGTCAATTAAATAGTCGTATCAAAATCCAACAATTTTCTTAACTTTAAATTCTTTAATAGTTTTACAAAGAAATAGCGTGGACTAGTACTATTTTGTATGCAAATCTTAGATCAATTGACAAAAATCAATATTTATAGATTGAACGTGAACATTATGATTCGAACCTGCTTCAATTGTTTATTTGAGTTTCTGATAATTAGTATTATTTCATCTATAGATTAAAAAAAAAAGAACCTAGATTATATTGCGTGATTGATGATACTCTCGTTATATACAGCTATAAAAAAAAGAGCATATATATCTCCTCAACAGCAAGGAACACCATTCAATAATTCAAATGACACTATGCTAACTTTACTCCCAACTAGTTAGTTTCTCATCATCCTAAGAGCCAATTCTTGCAACTCACCCAAGTCATGACTATTACTATTGTTATACGACATTCTTTTCTTAGAACTATTACAAACTTGAAATGAGAAATCCTCTCTACTACTTTGTACATCTTGCATGTTCATCATTCCGTCATTCATGCTTCCGCTATGATCAATTGAAGACTCAAGTGAGCTTTGAGGAGATATAGGGTTCATGTAAGTTGGACAAAAAGGATGATAATTCATCTGTTGTGTGCCAACAACATTATGATCATTATTCTCTGTCCATTGATTATTATTATTACTATTCTCTAGGTTTTGTGACAGCTGAGATTTCACTTGAATCAGTTGTGTCTGCAAGCATGCTACCTGCATAATTAAAAAGAGAAGAAGTTCCAATAGAATTCATTAATTTAGATGATTACAACAAAACTTTGTTTGTTTATTAATAATTGACTAATGGAGATTTAATATAGCTAGTGTCAATAATTAATATTCTTTGACCGGCCCTTGAACTATTCAAGAGCCTAAAGAAAAAGACAGAAGTACTGTTATATATATAATCACCTCAATAATTTTCAAACTCACTATATATTAAAATATATAAAATTGTAATTTCTCTAGAAATTTCCATGAGTGAGTAGCGTCTATCTAAGAATCACTGACATGTTGGCATCAATAATAATTTATATTGCGATGAATAAGTATCTGATATCGGTAATAGTTTATATGAATGATGATGTATGTACCTGTTGTTGTAAGGCAAAAATGTGAGAGACACAGCCATAAACAGGGTCTCTAATACGAGCTTGAGCCTCATAAGCGATAGTAACAACAGCTTCACAACGTTCATGAGCTGGTATATGCAAAAGCAGCTTAGAAACATTGCTGGCACCAAAAACTTTATGAATGGCTGCAAATCTTGCAGGGCCTTGTTCTGAGCAGAAGTAAGGTGCAAAAATGCAATCAGGTGCGCATTTTCTTCTTAGGAATTTGCATGCTCCACAAGGAGAACCAGATGCTGAGCTAGTTCCATTTGAAGAAGCCATGTTGAGAAAGTGAAAAGGAGAAGAGAATAAAAATTTGTAAGCACACGGACACACTAGGAAATGGTGAAAGGTTGTAAATACTAAAATCTGAGAAGTGAGTGAGTGAGATGGAAGTGGGACAATGGGAATAAGAGGCATAAAAGGGTCTTATAAAAAACATGAAAGGGGAGACATGGAAGGGTCGTGTGTAGGGTTCGAAGGAGACACTTCTTTATGGCAGGTGCAATTAGGAACTGGTTTTTCTAATGGGGTTTGTTTATTAGTACTTGTTGTTGATGCTTTTTTTTAATATATATATATTTTTAATCCCAATAAAATTAGTTACTTTTAATTTTCATTCCATTAAAAAATATATTAAAGAATCATCTTTTAAAAATTTGTTGTCAAAACTTTTGGTCTCTAACGTTAGATTTGAGTAAAGAAAACTGACATGGCAGTACAGGTGGCCAAAAATTGAAAATTACTAGTTAAAAATAATTATGCCATTTAGGTTTTTACTATGATTAAAATAATTTACCACTTTTAGTCTCTTCATTGACTTTCTTTTAAACCCGATTCAGAAACCCTAAAATCATAAAGTCGTCTTTCATCTTCATAACACAATCCTACTCACCATTGATGCAACTCCTTGTGTAAGAAGGTTTACAAACTCAACTTGTTGTGTACGATAGTCCTTGAAAGTTGTGGTCTTTGGTGTGTTTTGTCTCTCAAATAGGTTTGTCCAACATGTCTCTTTCTCTTTTTCGTTTTTTAGCATTGTGTCATTTTCTTACGTCCCACGGTTTTCATCTGCATTTAAAAAGGGTATATAATACGCTAACATTGATGGTAGTTTTAGAATTACACGTTGACTTAATATTTAATGCCCACTTGATAGTTTCTTAATTGAATTGTTGTAGCTATGTGAATTTTTTTTTAAATTAACCCTTGGCATATGTACAATTTATAGGAGACGGGGTTGTTTAAGATCGTTTTTTATATTAAGGATTGTTTTGTAAAAGACCACAACTTAAGATATGAAGATATATATATGTGTGTGTGTGTGTGTGTGTGTGTGTGCGCGCGCGCGCGCGCGCGCGCACGCATACAATGGACAAGATAGTGATTACTTGTCTTTCTTTGAAACTCATGATCTAATTAAAGTTATGGATTCAAAGTTTAGTGTTGATGGTGTGAAAATTTTGTGGAAACAAGAAGGTAGTAGTTTGGAAAAAAGATCTTAAACCATTTAGAAATAATGAGGATGCAACATTGTCATCTTTATTTGCTGAGAAGAATGAGTGTGAGGTTGAAATTTATATTGAGGTCAAACCATCTACAAGCGAGTTGACATGTACGGAGAGGTTAAGAGAGAAAAATAAGGGGCAGCAAAGTCTTAAGGTTGATGAGACTGATGGTCAGTGCAGTGAATCAAGTGATGAAACTATCAATGACATACACTTTGAAGACAGTGGAGAAGAGAGAATGCATGACCTTGATGAAGACTTTGATGAGAGGTTGATGAAGGTTGGATGAAGATGATAATGGGAGGGATGATGTTGATGGTGTTGTACCCAACGAACCACCCATCCCTAATTTTGCAACAACAAAGAGGGAAAAGGAGCATGTCTGTTCGCATGTATTTTTAGCGAACAATCACAAGTTTGAAAGTCTATAAAATTAACTCGAAATAGTTTACTATGACCTAAGTGTAAGATGTAACTAAAAATGTCTGGTTGCAGACACTATGAAAGTAAACTTTGAAGACAACAATGCTTAAACTAAAGTAAAAAGAACTTAAAATAAACAATATTAAATGAAATGCAGTAAATGACAAGAATAAAAGATGTTTCAATTAAGGAAACAATAAAGGTACAAAGAGAAAGGGATGCAGACTCACATAATTGCTCACAAATTGTTTCGCTCTTTGACTTGGGTACTCCAGCTCTATAGAGAATGTATGTGAAATTTTGCGACCATTATTACAACACATGAGTCTGCTATATATACTAAAGTAAGAATAATTTTCTTCGACAGTTTACATCTACAAAAATTGACACGTCATTCAAATACATGCAACTCCTTCTCCAACATCTTGGCATGTCATCAAGGCTTTGGAATTTCTGAAACCATTATTCCACATTCTCTAACTTCTTAGAGACTAGTAATTGCTTGCTCGTTGAAGGTAGTTACTAAAAGCATTGAGTCTCTTTTATCTTTGGTTTCCTCAATCTTCTAAGTCTTTGAAGCCTGTCGAACAGACCTTCATCGACATGGTGTCAAGTAATTACTCAAGTATATTCCTGATACTTCTTCAAACTAATTCTCAAGACATGCTCTTGAGATTATCCCCAACTACATCTCAAGATGTCAGTCGGGAAGCTCCAGTCGATGTGTCATCACTGTCGACTCTTGTCCATCACTGATAACACTTAGTACTTCACCAAATGCAGTATTGACTTGATTTTCCTACTAGGTAGAAAGGTGGCATTTTTGAAGCTCTTCGACACTGTGTTCATTTTATACATGTGATTTCAATGAAACGCCAAGGTAATTAATTATTATTATGGCCACTTTACACCAAAACACCACGTCTCAAACATCCATACAGATCCATGATGATCGTCTCTTATTTCTAGGAGCTTTAATTTAAAATGGAATTATTAAAACTGTCTAAATTTCATTTTATCTTTCCTCGTGACTTTTATTGTCGGTCTTTTTACTAATAGTATCAAACCTCGTTAGTCTTCCCAGAAAGAGAGCGAGTTCAACATTAGTCATGGCAAACAAACTCATCTTATTCCTCTACCACAACCATCAAATGTAGGCATCCGCATTGCCGAGGCCAGTGTTGCACCCCTATAGGTGAACACAACTCAATGTGAAGTCTTTGTCGGGAAAAAGAAGAAGAGAGTAAGGATTGAGGTTGTAACAATCCTCGAAGATGATGGTACTGAAGAGAGTGTACTACCACCTCTGAATAAAAAGAAAAAGAGTGGCAACACCTCCTAGCAACCCAATCAAGAAGCTAAAACAAGACCTTTGAATCCTCACCCAAAATTGAACAAGTAACTTTACCTTTTTACGCCTCATTTTTAATATTGAGCCATACTAATTCAAACTTTTTTTGGCAGTTGATCGACCCTAACCCTGAAGGCCCTCAACCTTAACCAATTAAACCTAACATTTTCCCTAAATATTCAAGCATCAAATACATTACCCCTTTGTCGACTACCCCTTCTAAAAATCTGCACAATAACGCTGGTAATGGTGGGGTAATTGACCAGGCAAGGCCAAGTGGTGGTGGATCTTGGAATCAACTATGGTGAATGCTAACAATCCCACCACTAAGTCTTCATCCAAAAGACAAATTTGAAGTGCAGCTCTACCTATTCACTCATACTAACAAAATAAGGTTCATATGCCAAAGGCTCTTATGAGAATCAGCCCTTCCACCAAGAACACGTGTGGGTTCTTATGTCGAGAAGACTCTCAATGTTGCTGCGCCTAGCCATATTCAGCCACTTGTAGGGTCTCCTGCCCATGATGGCTTCCAGGAGAACTTGCATGCATCCCTTACTCTAAGGGCTTGCTCTGCATAAATTGTCAATAAAGTGTTTGCCTCCACTTTGGATGCTTCCATAGCTACTAATAAACAAGAGAACCGCGTCGAAGCTTTCAAGATACTCGTCTACAACCTAGAAGGTTTCTCTAATTTATCTTCCAACTCACTTCATGGTCAACTAGACAATTTTGATGACGGGTTTGGGCAGCTAGAGTCTAAACTTGTCAATATAGATCTCCTTTTGACTATCAAAGATGATCCTATCACCCTATTTCATATTTAAGGGTTGGTTTTGAAATTGAGAAAGCTTGAAGTTTCAAGCCTGATTGCTGATATTGTCTTAGATTTTGAATCTCTACTTGAGCAGGTTGTCCAAGTGATGATGCATAAACAAGAAAGTGGTAGCTGCATCGAGCTAGTGACCGGTATTTTGCGTGAATATCAAGTCTTAGTTTTTTATTCTTAAACCTTGGTTGCTAAGTTCAAGGAAAATTCCAAAGAAAAGAATAAATTGGCAACCCTTGAGGCTGACATGTTAACTTGGACCCGTTAAATGAACTGGCTACAGCTGAAACTCGAGGCAGCTGTGAGAGAGAGAGAGAGAGAGAGAGAGAGAGAGAGAGAGAGAGGAATTGAAGGCTTTTGACCTGGATTATGTCGATCAAAGGCATGTCAGGGCTGCCAACACTTCCCTAGGACAAGCTAAGGCTACTAAAACACTAGAAGCCAAAGTGGAAAATTTGAAGGCTATAGACTGCCAGATTGATAGAAAACAAAAGCGCACAAAGCTACGCTTCGAAGAATTAAAGGAAAAGATGAAGTCTTACGTTAGATTTTGTAAGTGCTTTTGATTGGCTGCAATTTGTGGCAAAACATTAGAGTGTGTATGGATGTCATGACTGATGTTATGACACACGTTATGCAGGGTAAGTTGAGTTAGCTAATAGTAAGTTGAGTTAGATGTCATACTGGATGTTATGACACTGATTGTATGACACCAGACGCACAGTGTTAGTTTTCTGGTATTTAGAATGAGGGAGATCAGGCTAGAATTCAGGAAACTTTGTAGAAGCTCAAGCTGGAAGTCAGGAAATATTTTAGAAGCCCTGGCGAAATAAAATGTCCCTGGCCTAAATGGTAAGTGCAGATTCTTGAAGAGAGGTTTGGGTAAACCTAAATTTTGCACAAAGGCCCAAAGGATATCTGCTGCTATAAATAACAAGAGGATGAACCTTAATAAATGGGGGAATTATCAGAGAGATCATAGAGTGTATCTTGTGAGTGAAGAAGGTTGTTCTTCACGTGAATTATGTGAGTGAAGAAGTTTGGTTCTTCACGTGTGTCTTAGGACTTGTGTGCCAAGCAATTGTTTGATGTACAATTGCATTGGTTTAGTGTGTATAAACTGTTGTGTTCATCATGTCACTCAAAGCTGTTAAGCAAGAGTGTGTGTCTC